AAAAATTACTATTTTCAAACTTATTTATATTTTTGATAATTTCGGTAAACGATTCAAACTTATTCATATTTTTTATAATTTCGGTAAACGATTTGGGTTTTCACTGATGTACTTGAAAGGCAGAACTATTTTTAGAAGTCACGATTTAGTTGAGCATTTATTCTTTGAGTTACTTCTGGTATTACTTATTTTATATTGTTATGAACTATTGTTGGTTATGAAAGTTGGACTCTGACCTTGGTACAAGCTCGTCACTACTTTCAACCTAAGGCTACGTTTGTTACTTATTCAGTACATGGGGTCGGTTGTACTGATACTACACTTCTGCACATTGCGTGCAGATATTGGTTGTCGTTGTTGTTGTGTTCGATGGTTACCGGATTTGAAGTTGTACCTGCGTTCCGGTTGTTGCTGTCTCTTATTCATGGTAGCCTGATTCATGCAAACTCTGTTTATGTACTTTTCAAATAGATGATGTATTATTTCATACCAGCTTTGTATACTCTATTATTAGAAGCTCATGATTTGTACTACCCATTCTTGGGGAAATGTAATAGTTTCATATATTTTCTTTAATAATTGTCTTGCTAAATTACGTTGGAATTGGATAGTGATTAGTTGGCTTACCTAACGGGTTGGGTTAGGTGTCATCACGACTAGTTGAATTTTAGATCATGACAATATAATTATCGATGTATCGGCTAATCAATCACTAGCGTTACTTATATAAGGATGCCACTAGTTCACTAATACTTAGTGTTATTATCAATGTATATAGGCTAATCAATCAGCAACATTACTTACATATATATTATTAATACACTTATACTTCGTGTAATTATCAATATACAAGCTAAATACAATTAATACACTTTTGCATAGTATATTATCAATGTGTATGATAATCAATTGTTAACGTTACTTAAGGACACCATTAATACACTTCTACTTACAGTAATTATCAATTTATAAGATAAACTATCACTAATATTTCTTACGGAAATGACTAATACACTTCTTCTTAGTGTTTAATTATTAATGTATAGGTTAATCAATGTAGTTAAGGATACTACAAAATCACTTTTACTTTGTGTAATTATAAATTACTAAGCTAATTACCACCAATATATTTTAAGTAGTGTATTACCTTCACTTAGTGCAAATTTTAATAAATAGGCTAATCAACCACTAAGATAATTAAGTAAATACTTACTGAGGGACTTACCGACGGCCTCCCTTGGTATTGTGTAATAAAAAATACAAAATAATTATCTATAAGATTATATATTTAAGTTACCGACGGAAGTTCATCGGTACTGTAAGAACAAAATTCAAAATATTATGTAAATGCAGTAGGATTGAGTACGTCGATAACTTTATTTTCTTTTTCATTTTTTTTTAAAAGCACCGACAGACACCGAAAGTTGTCCGTCGGTTATATTTTTAAAAAAATAGAAATTAAAAAGTTCAAAAGTACCGAGGGACTCCGTCGGAAAATCCTTCGGAATAACGTCGAAAAAAAGTCTATCGATACTGCTGCGTCGGTAAACAACTGTTTTTTTAGTAGTGCTTCTTGTTGGCTCTCGCTTCTTTTGCGGGTTTAGTTTAGTTTAGGTAAGTCATACCATGAACTGAAAATCCATATAATACCATATAGCGATAGGTTTAAATTATACATACTATTGAAGAATGTAATTTAACCGGCTATAATATGCCATTAATATAATCTACTTTGTAGGTTATTGTATCATACTTGAGATATGTAAATGTTATATTATAATTGGTTTATACATTAATAATAATAAAAATAGATATACAATACAAAAATACGTGTTTTGCTTAAAATTGGATAAAAGTTATTGCCATTATATGTGTATATATAGAGAGAGGCAGAGAGAAATTTAATAGTAATAAATAAACATAGTGAATTGAAATGATACTTATAATTTCAAAATCAATATTGTAAGCATCATTAAGAACAAACTGAGAGTTGATAAAAGAAGACGTAACGGGATGTTTGTGATATAACTCATATCAGTATTATTTCTACAGAAAAGAAAAAAACCAAAACTAAACAAAGCACTTTAATAACTAAAGGAGAATGTAATTTCAAATATAGTTCAAAAAGATTTCTGCTAATACAAGAAACCAGATGATCTTTCTCTGTATTGGGTCTCTCCACTATTATGGGCAATGCGGTACCGTATCTGGATGTCATGGGCTTTACTCACAAGTCACATGGCTGCTGCGAAAGGAATAATTAAACCCAACCACTTAAACTAAAAATAGTCGAGAGAGGTATAATATATGCATAATTTATGTATTATATGTATATAATAATATATAATCAATGTATAAACTATGTATATGACAAAAAAAGTAAACATTAAATATGGACGACTATTTGTGTAAGTAAAAGTAGCACGACCTAGCCAGTTTTCGGACTGGTAATTAAAAAATAGCCAATGTTTGCAAAGTAATTGAAAAACTAGTCACTATTTTGCTGCAACACGGAAAATTCCAGCATAATATATTTGAGATTTGGTGCACCTGTGTATGAACTTCCAACATATTATGCTGGAACTCCCAACACACGGAAAGTTCCAGCATAATATACTGGAGTTTGGAGCACCTGTGTATGAACTTCCAGCATATTATGCTGAAATATTTTTCGGATTCTGAACAGTGTTTTCATTCAGATTTATCTTTACTTGAAAATTGGCTAAAATTCGATTACTTTTGAAACTATAGCTTTTTTTCAATTATCACTTGTAAATATGACTATTTTTTTAAATTCACCCTTTGTGTAAAGATCCCCTGCAAAAGTGTGGAGATTGAAAAAAATAGCCCCGTAAGGGGCTAGCCTTAGTCGAATGTCCCAAATATTGACGGTATTTAAAAAATGACCCCTCTACTTCGCACATAGTTATTGCTTTTCAACGTTTCCCTGTCTGATTGGTAGAGTTTATGCTGCTAGAGGAAAAGAAGGAATGGAAAATTACCAAATGCAGATTAATCATTTCTCATTCATTTTCCCGTTCTACTTTTTCTCTTTGATTTAGGGGCCGACCCGGCACCGACCGGCTGAGAACTTCCTTTTCCTCAGTTTCCAAAATTCCAAGTAATTAAAGGGTTATAATTGACTAAGTTAGGCCCATCACTGCCAGCCTTCCATACCCACCGTCGGCACTAAACTTTCACCTAAAAGGATTTGCACATTATTTAGTTAAAACTTGTGAATTGTGATGTTATACCTTTGACTTTCTACATCATCAATATCAATTTGGCTATATTTATTCTCCCTCGTTCTCGTTGGTTCTGTGACTTAATTTCAAATGTATTAGAGATAAGACAGAGAAATACAGATTAGAAATTAAAGCACAAAAAGTGAAACAAAACTTTGCTACATTGTTGGTGTAAAAGAGATTCTTGTACAAGTTGAAGGGGGTAAAGTATTTATTTTGCGACCACTAGCACTTTTAAAAGATATGAAGAAATGTCCTATCATTAACATGACCGCTCAACAAGATTGGAGCATTAAACCAAACTTTATTGCCTTAATTTTTTTTTTTTTAAAAACGTCATATATATTTAATTTAAAACTATTTTTCCAGCGTTTAGATACAAAATCATTAATTATTATCTTATAATCGATTTGTTCTCATAATTCAATTTCAATTGATAATATAGCTAATAGATCTCTCAACTTTGTATCTACCATATTCCGTTGACTTGGATCGTATATATTTTTAGAGATACAGTTATTCAAATCATTTAAGAATTCTTGATTTTCTGGAACTATGTCAAATTTCGTAGTAACTTCATCTAACTCAACTCTATGAGTGACTTGTTCATTTGAAGAACATCCTTCCATATTTTCTCATTCAAGATATTTATTATTTGTTAAAAATCTATCCAAGGCTCCCTTTTGGGATTTAATTAATTCTTCACATTTTTTTCCCTTTTTGCATAACCGGATTCATATTTTCTAGTTGAAAATTTTAAATTGAATATAATCTAATAATAACTAAAACAAGAATATATACTTAGGAAGTAAGAATATCAATAATGACAGATTTTCAATGAAAAAATATAATATAAAATTAGAATAATAAAATCTGGTTAAAAAATTTGATAGGTTGATATCACGGTATCGAAATAGTATTGTATTTCTTCAAAATAACGATTGTTTTTGTCTTGTTGTAATGCTTGGAATTTTGAAGAGGACACCGAAAAGCAAACTTTGATCTTTTGTGAGCACACAACGATAAATTTTGTAAAAAAAAAATATAGGAATAGTTAATAAGGAGAGAGTAAGAATAAATGAAAGAGTCAATAAAAAAGACAAAAATATAAGAATAATAATGTGAACCAATGTTACATGGTACCCTCACAATCTTCGCCATGGCCAACCTGTTGTGGGGGTGGCTCGTAAGTGAGTCCCTCACTTGTTACGGCTATGGCGGGATCTCGCACCTTGCTCGTCCCTCTCCTCTTTTGTTTTTGTTTCCTTGTCTCTCCCTCGAAGGTTGCCTAATTATTTCCATCGACTTTCATGAATATAATTAGTCAAGAAATTAGACACCAACTGTCCCCGCATAAAATAAAAATAAAATTTAATTTCTCCCTTCCAACACTATATGGATGATTTGTTTTTAATAATATATAACATACAACTTTTAAAATAAAAGGGGGACCCCAAAAAGTTGGGGGCCAAGCCATTTAGTTGCCTTGTTCAGCCGCCATGATTATTAATTTACACTTTTTATTTGTAGTTTCTTCTTTCCCATCTAAATTTATTTGATTACTCAGTCTTATTATTATCTTTTCTTCTTTCCATCTATAGACTATAATCTGGAGGAGAAATTTTCTGATCCACTTTTTTGTTGACAAACTATATATATAGTTACCATGTGGTACGAGTTAACTCTGTATTCCCTGTTAAATAAGTATTTGCTTGGTAACTAAGGGAAGGTGAGATGTGACTATCAAAGCCAGCATATGCAAATGGAGAGTATATAGTCAGTAATCTTAGGTCCCCCCACCAAATTCTAGTGGCTGCCAATTTTGATGATATCATTTCTTTCAACTTCCATGACGTGTTCCTACTCTATTCCTTCTACTATTTTATTACTTACTAGTACTACATTTCTTCTTCATAAGACATTTCTCCTCATCTTCCTTTCATACGAGAAAAATATACTGTTTTCCTCCTCAGCACAAAGAATTCCATTTTCTGTAAGTTCAGATCAATCATGGGTGGTGACAAAACTGAAAAGGTATGATCTTCCACAACTCTTTTTCCTTCTATCTATATTTCCGTCTAAAGTGATCTATACTTCTTCATCACGATTTCTGAACAACAATAAACTAGCTTATTATTGCATTATTATTGCATAATATGGTTCAGTGAATTAATCTTTTTTATAACTGTAAGAGCTGTGATATTGTGCTTAATTAATTACTTGACAAATAACCCCATCATACTAACTAATCGTTTAACAGACCACTATAATGGTGCTCAAGGTTGATCTTCAGTGCTCCTGCTGCTATAAGAAGGTCAAAAAAGTTCTCTGTAAATTCCCTCGTATGTCTCTTTTACTTGAATTCTCTAAGTAAACTATAGTTATCCGCTTTTTTTCTTTATGTTTTCTTGAAATTCTATTTCAAAGTAGATGGACAAAATCAATCATGGAATACTATGATGGGGAATATATATA